CTGGCCGTGAAGTGGACGTGTTAAAGAATGACAAAAGTCCCATATCGGTGATTAATGAGATGGGTAGACTCCTTATAAGACTTGGGCAATCCTCCTCCCTTTGATCTAGCTTTTAGGGTGTGAGTTAGGCCTAAGACCTAATTTCACACCGTCCACTTTTAATTATCATGTTGCATTATTCGAAAGTCAATTTGACTAAATTTCAAAAACCATACGAAAAGTACTATAAATTGCAATTTTTACATATCAATATGTTGAAAAATACACCGCAAAATATTAATCAAAATTCTTATAGTTTAATTCTAAAATAAAAACCACAACAATTAAAAGTGAACAAAGAGAGTATTTAAAAAGTGATATAGTAAACTTACCCTTCTATTTATGATTTCTTTATTAAATGTGTGAACTCAATAGCGGACAAGAATTATTGGACTAAAGATGTAATAGTTTTTGTCTTTATTGGAAATATTTTCACCTAAAACGTCATGATTCTCCAAACTAAAAACTACAACTGGAAATCCAACTTTAGGTGGTCATTATGATCAGAAACTCACTCTCTGGAGAATTTAACTCACTTTATTGACCAATGGGAACACCCTTAGTTGCCAACATTCAATACATTTCAATTGGAAATGAGACAGAGACTCATCAATACTTTACTTGCTTAGTTTGTAGATGCAATGGCCTAGACCAACGACCATAAAACAAGATAGAAGGATGATGACAACGAAAACAACGACAGCAAAAACAACAACATATTCAATATAATCTTACAAGTAAAACATATAAAGGGTGGTGTGTGCAACCTTGCCTTGTAAAGGTAGAGCAAGACAGGAAGAGGAAGTGAAAATTTGCTAAGATGAATTGCAAAATGTCAAAATATAGAACTTGATACAGATATAATCTATATTTTTTAACTTATTTAAGACAGGAGTACAATTCTACATGACAGTGGAAGAGAAAGGATACACAAACACTGTATTAGTATACATAACAGTATTGTGAAAATATACTACTCACTTTCAGCGACTACTAGTCGTGTGCCTTCGATTCAGCATCTTTGGGACTCTCAACCACTGCTAAGTTCTTATCTTCTGTTTCTTTTATTGTCTTCAGGATGTCTGCTTTTTTCAGCTGAAGAGCTTCCAGTTTGGCATTGATCTTATCCAACTTGGATTTCAACTTACTCAGATCTTTGCTTTTATACTTGTCCTCGAGTTTTCTCTTCTTCTCAGCTTTATCCTTTTTTGAATCCTTTTGTTTTTCATCCTTACTTTCCTTCCCCTTCTTCTTGCTTTTACTTTTCTCTTCTGATTCATCGTCGGATACTTTCTTGTCTTCCTCAACTTCTAGCTCTCTTGTGGCGACTTCAGCGGCATTCGCCTTGACTTTCTTTTCTTTATCCTTCTTCTTGCCTACTTTATCATCCTTCTCTTCATTATCTTCTTCTTCCGACAACTCTTTGTTCTTGTCTTTCTTCTCTTTATCCTTCTTCTTCCCTTTTACATCATCCTTCTCTTCTTCCTCCGACTCCTCTTTGCTCTTATCTTTCTTTCCTTTATCCTTTTTCTCTTTCTTTTCCTTATTGGGTTTCTTATCCTTATCCTTCTTCACACCTTTTTCATCATTCTCTTCTTCGCGCTCGTTCTCTTCGTCTGATGCCCCTTTTTTCTTGTCTTTCTTCTCTTTATCCTTCTTCCCTTTCTCAATATCCTTCTCTTCTTCTGACTCCTCTTTGATCTTGTCTTTCTCTCCTTTGTTCTTTTTCTCTTTCTTCTCCCCTTTTTCGTCATTCGTTTCTTCCTCCGACTCCTCCTTGCTCTTGTCTTTCTTCTCTTTTTCATTTTTCTCAATCTTAACTATCTTGAGTTTCTTCTCCACCTCTTCTTCTCCCTCCGATTCCTCCTTGCTCTTGTCTTTCTTCTCCTTTTCCTTTTTCTCAATCTTAACTATTTTGAGTTTCTTCTCCACCTTTTCATCATCCTTTTCTTCCTCCAACTCCTCGCTCTTCACTTTTTCCTTTTTCTCTTTCTTAACCTTCTTAAGTTTCTTCTCTTTATCCTTCTTCTCCCCTTCTTGATCATCCTTCTCTTCCTCGGTTTCTTCCTCCGACTTCTCTTTGCTCTTGTCCTTCTTTTCTTTATCCTTTTTCTCTTTTTTCTCCTTCTTGTCTATTACATTTTTTGTTTCATCCTCCGACTCCTCCTCACTCTCCTTGTTCTTTTCTTTATCCTTCTTGTCTTTCTTTTGCTCCTTCATATCATCAGACTTTTCTATCTCTTTCTCGACTTTGAGATGTTGTTCTTCCTTTTCCATCTTTTCTTCTTCTTTCCCGGGCAATAACAGTTGTTTCCGCTTCCTATCCAAAATTGTCCGCGTGTCAATGCGTCTTCAATTTCTCCGAGATATCTGAGATGGAGATGCAAAATTAAGAAAACGGTAAGTCTATCATTTTCACGTTTAATAATAAAAGCATTAAGTAGAAAGACAATATCGCCAGCACGGAAGATTTTTCTCAAAATGATAAAGAACGAACAATGTTTTCGACGGCAAAATAAGGTATCGGGGAAGTTGGGTGACATAGACAAATAAATACATATATAATTAACTTCCATACATCAAGAGAAGAAAAGAACCACAGTGGAGGACAAGGAGTCCATAAATTGACTCGAAAAAAGAACTCGATGAAACTTGTCCTATATTCTTACTGCACTTCTATATTCCATGCCACTTCATACTTCCAGCTTCTAACTATTCTTCAGCATATCTTCTCCATAAACCCCACTTAAACTATAGTTTTTTTTCTTTTTCGTTCTTCCCGTATCATACTAAGATATAATCAGTGAACTCCATTACCTGTAGGCTGTAAAGAAACTATGATTTGATTCACTACATAAGCCAGGTTTTCCCCCAACTCGAATTAAGATGCAGTTTAAACCTAATGAAACACAAACTAGTCTCCAGCAAGGATGTTCACACTTCAATGAAAGTTTAGTGTAGTGACACACTATCTATGAGTTACACATGGGAAGGCAACTGAACTATTGAAGTTTGGAAAATCGTATTAGATCAAAGCCAAATATCAAAGGTAAGTCGACGAAATGGAAAAATGGGCAGTACTTCATGTTCTCCCTAAGCTGAACCTAACGGTAGTTTATCTACATGTTCATTCTTTCTGTAGCATACTAGAGATAATCAGTGAACTGCCTTACATATAAAAAGACTATGATTTGATACACCACTACATAGCATCCCCCCCCCCCCCCAACCCTAATGTCAAATTCAGATTTAGAGAAGCCATAACAGCAACTGTAAGATTCTACAATAAATCATAGTCCTGGCAATTGAAGATAACTCAGAGATGTCACTGATTATTTGGTAACCCCATTCCACTTTAATACTGTTAATAGACACACGGTAGACACAATATAGATTGCCATTATTCGACATGCGAGCTTGCTAACATAACCAGTATAAAGCCCGTCAAAGGAAGAGGGTTGTGATAAGTTGATAGTCAAGTGTAAAACTAGCACATTTATGATGAATCCATGCAATACAGAATACAACCACAACTATACCAATTAATCACAATTCACAAGGCAGACACGAGAAAGAAGTAGGCTTCTTGTTTCCAAATTTCTTTTTCCTTTCCTAGTGCTCTTCATGAGCATACAGAAACTTACTGGATGATAGTAACAACAACGTACCCTGTGTAATCCCATAAGTGAAGTCTGGAGAGAGTGTTCTATACGCAAACCTTACCCCTACCTTATGCAGGAAGAGAGGTTGTTTCAGATCCACCACTCGACTCAAATTTGCAAATCAAAGCAGGTTAGAGAAGGGAGGAAGGGAATACAGTAATGAAGAGAAGAGAACAATAGAACAACAAATAATAAGATAATTGAAACAAAGGAAGCAACAGGTAATGATACAATCGAAGAATAAGATAATAGTTAGTAAACTTACTGGACAATCACAATCAATCAAAATGGCAATTCTTCAGTAGAAAAAGGAAAGTGATACTGACATAAAAAGTATACATCCAATACATATTTCATTTAGTAATTTCCAAGGGGTAGTGGGAATGGATCCTAGTAAAGATTATTAACCCCAAATTAAAATCACATCAACTACAACAACATATCCATACACAGAGCTTAATCCTACCTTTACAGGTTAGGGAGACTGTTTCCCATAGACCTCGGCCCAAAAGAAGTGTAATCAAAGCATGATTGAAAGGAAAATAACGACAACAAAACAACAAGATAAACATGCAACATGTAGTAGGAGTATGTCAAAAAGAAGAACAAGATACTAAGTGAACACTAAATAAGGAGATTATGAGAAAGAGGAGACTAGCCCCCAAATTAACATCAGATAAGCTATAAAATGAATCCATAAAGACCCTCAACCTCCCACTCACCCACCAAATACATTAGCATACAACAATCTCAAATTCTTCAATACAACAAAACTATCACTTACACATTAAATTAATAAACAAGAAACCCAATAAAAGATGATACAATCTCAGCAAAAGGAATCAACTTTTACCCAATATTTACAACACCCATTTGAGATCATCAAAAATAAAAATTTACCCTTTTCACTAAACAGCAAAAAAACCCAATAAAGAACCAATTTTTACACAATATCAACAATACCCATTTGAGATAATCAAGAATAAAACGCACCCTACACACCCTTTTCAATAATCAGCAAAAAGAACCAGCTTTTACACAATATAAACAACACCCAATTAAGATAATCAAAAAATAAAACTTACCCTTTTCACTAAACACCAAGAAACTCAGTACCCTATATGAACAATGAAGAAATAGATATGTTCTGAATATTACAACAACTCCAAAAACTTGATAATCTATTTATAGGAAAAAAAAAGATCTATATAATCTATAAGCCGCGTATTAAACGCAACACGGAGAGATTGAATATAGACTTTAAAGAGTCGGTAGATATGAGATATCAATTGACTTTTTGAAAAGTTTAAAACTTTAAATTTGGGGAAAAACAGAGTTTTTTTTTTGGTTAAAGAATCAAAAGTAGAAGAAGGTGCCAGAAGTGTCATCAATGTTGTTTATGTGTATGACACGTGGCGATTGTATGTTGATTTGAATTGAGAAAATTGCGATTCACCAAGAAATGAAAATAAACTATAGATTATAGAGTTGGTTTAGCTTTTTGGGTTATGAATTTTATTATTTACTTTTTAATGTAAGGAGTGTTATATTTGGAATTTAATTAACGTGAATTTAGATTAATTAGTAAAAAATAATTGTTATATTATTAGATTGTTACCTATAATTATGACGCAATTAATAATAGATGTAAATATTTTCTTTTTTAATGTCTAAATTTTAAATTTACAATTTTTTTCGATAGAAAGAGTTATCTTCGAATTTAGTAATAAAGTCGAAGATTTTCTCTATTAAAGATCAAAATATGAAAAATACACAAAGAATTTTTTGATACAAATGATTTGTATCGAGGAATAAAATATTTTTGACACAACTATATTCATTGATACAAATCAGTTGTATTTATTATATAATTATCGAGAAATTATATAAATCAACTGTATTATTCTTATTTTTCTTGGATCAAGCTTTGACTTTTTCAATCTCGTTTATTACTCTCCTATTTCGCGAACAACCACATTACACCACTAACTCAAAGCTTAACATCATCCCAAGTTATAAGAGCCACGTTCGTATAAGGGATTTAACTCTTGGAATAGCTTTAATATTACAAATATAAATTACTCTCCTTTCAATTCGATCATGCTTTATAGTTTTTCATTAAAATACGATGTGATTTATTTCATTCCAAAGTGTATAGACTGCCTCAACATAGATCATTTTAAAGACTTATGCCTACGTAGATTTTTCATTTTGAATTCTTGAGGATGTTCGTTCCGATTAATATTTTGAGGACATAGTAAATCATACTGCACTATTAAATAATCCCGCATCTCAATTACAAGTATTAGTAATAATTTTTTTGTATACAAACTAATAATATATTAATTACGTTAATTGTTCTGACTTTTTACGAAATATATTATTATAAAATAATAATTATAAATATTCTTAATAATTTTTAAAACTTACAAATATAAACTATACATCTTACTAAATACAATATTTTTTCACTAAATTCATATTCTAAACACCCAATAAAACTTTATCTAAAACGTCACTCAAAAATAATTTGTTCAAAATATTTATTTATTTAGATATAAAATAACTTGCTAAAAGTATTTGGAATATACTTCCAAATATTAATTAGCCTAAAAGAAGGTTTGAATTAAAAGTTTGCAAAAAAAAAAGAAAAAAACCTCCCTTCACGCTGTGTCACTGAATTGTCTCTCTCTCAGACACGCTGTTGCAACATTCTTTCATATTGCTGTCTGTTTCTCTCTCTTCCTTTCTGCCTCCCTCTTTCTCTCTCTAAAAATTGTTCAAAGGGGTCGAAGCAGAAACTTACAGACAAAGAAAACGACGGGGGGGAGAGAGAGAGTGCCAAGAATTCAGTAGATCTCTCATTCTTCTCCCAAAATGAATGATCTTTTAAATGTAAGTTTGTTTCCTTTCTTTTTTTTTGTGTGTATATCTACATTTTTTTGATCTGGTTGGTAGCT